GAAAATCCTATTACAGCAGAAGGAAAGAAGGGAGGGGGGTGAGCATTGTTTGAACCTTACTCTCATCAGATTTGGCTCAAGAAGGGAATAACATAATCATTTAGGTATAGAAATCTAACTTGCCCTATAGGCAGTAGGAAGGAAAAGGGGGGAAAAAGGGAGGGGGGATAGAAGAGAGGGAAGAAGCAGTAAGGACAAAAGGGAAAGGGATAATAGAAGGGAGGAGAGACTGAAGGAGGCAGTGGTCAAAAGCAAAACACCAGTCTGGGGTGGGGGGAAGGAGAAAGGAGAAAGAAAAACATAAACGGGGAAAAAGGATGGAGAAAAGGACACAGATAGTAATCATAACTGTGAAAGTTGAGTTGCTATCTTTTTTTTCTCTTCCGTTGAGTTTTGTTTCCTCTTTCTGATGGTTCCTCCTATTGGTTTTAATTTTTACTTACAACTTCACTAATGTGAAAATATGTTTAATGGGAATGTAAATGTATAGCCTATATCAGTTGTGTGCTGTCTTGGGGAGGGTGGTGGGGAGGAAGGGGAGAAAAATTTTAAACTCAAAAGCGTATAGAAGTGATTGTTGATAAATCAAAATAAATTAATAAAAGGAAAAAATAAAAGTTAACTATGGTATGAAAAAAAAAAAAGATAGCACTTCTAACTCTACTTTTATTCCCACTACAGTACAGCGATAAACACAGGTGGAGTAGATAGTTGTATGTAATATATGTTTGTTAATTGAGTGATCCATTGACTATGCCCAACAAATTCTGCTTGAGAAGTGGGAACCCACTACCTTCCATAGCAGTCCATTCACCTTTTGGGGGGCTCTGATGAAAAGGAAGTCCCCCTTTGGATGCTCTCTAGCTTATTGATTCCCTTCTTCATTAATAGCATCCATAACCGAACACAAACACTGAAGATGTGGTCTGCCTAATGCAAAGGACAGAGGGACTATTCCCTCCTTATTCTTGGAAGCTAATCCCATTTGAATGTGGCTTAAGATCATCCCAGTCTGTGATCATGCTGTTTGTCTCATGCTGAGCATGTAGTTCATGAAAACCGCCAAAACTACTTCTCCAGTCTGGGTCTCAGTTTCTTCACCTGTTTAAAAAATTAATCTGTAAAGGTAGCTAAGTAGCACAGTGGATGGAGTCTGGACCTGGAATTAAAAAGAACTGAGTTCAAATATGGCCTCAGACCTTTATTAGCTGTGTGACTCTGGGCAAATCACTTAACCCAGGTCTGCCTCAGTTTCTTCATCTGTAAAATTGGGGGAACAATAGCACCTATCTCACAGGGTTGTGGTGAGGATCAAATGAAGTAATATTTGTGACGTACTTTGCAAATCTTCAAACATTACCCAAATGCCAGCTTATTACAGTTATTATTATCATTTTCATTATAAAAGGGGGTTGAACCAGATGGTCTCTAAAATACCTTTTAGATCTTATGAACGCTAGATCCTGTCTAGACAAACTGTCTCCTACGCATTCCCAATCTTGTATCTGTGAAGTTGTTTTCTGAATGTAATGTAAGACTTTATATTTATCTCTGTTGAATTGCTTCTTGCTAGCTTCAGCCCGATGCTCTTGTTTGTCAAGATCTTTGTGGAGCTCATTTACCCAGAACTATCTACTGCTTCCCAGTTTTGTGTCATCTGCAAATGTGATGAGTAAGCTTTTAATGTCTCTATCCATGTCATTGATCAAAATGTTTAACAGCATGGGGCCAAACAGATCCCTAGAGACCTCCTTACACGCTAACAATAAATCCAGCTATTCATAAGATCACAGATCACACGATCATAGATTTAAAGTTTTAAGGCACTTAGAGGTGATCTGGAGCAAACCCCAACTTACGGATGAGGTGTTCAGTCATTTTAGTCACATCCAACTCTTCTTGACTCCATTTTGGGTTTTCTTGGCAAAGATACTGAAGTGGCTTGCCATTTCCTTCTCTAGCTCATTTTATAGATGAGGAATCTGAGGCAAATAGGGCTCAGTGACTTGCCCAAGATCACACTGCTAGTAAGTGCGTGAAGCTGGATTTGAACTCAGGCCTTCCGGACTCCTAGCCCAGCCCTCTATCCACTGCATCACCTAGCTGCCCCACAGATGAAGTGAAGTATGCTCAAAGTCACACAGGTGGCTCCAAGAAACTGTAGTATACGTAGTTACCGATAAACCTCCTTCTTTTACATTTTTTCATTAATTCTTTTTACTTGTGATTCAGTCTACATGGGCAGAGGGCATTTGATTCAGTCTCCTTTCCATACACAGGGATGGACCTAACCTATTCTATTCAGGCAGGTATTTTTCCTATTCAAAAACTTTTCCAGAGGTCATTGTATCAATTCCTTTGGTCATGTATTTTAGCCCCAAAACAAGTTATTTTTAATAACTAGCTTGGATGACTTTTATAATTCAAGCCTCTTTCTTCTTGTGTCAGGTATGTATGTGTAGTGGGGAGAGGAGTAAAAGAGATGAGCAGGAAGGAGTGCACCCAAGTTATGGAAGAGGAAGAAAAGGTCATAGTCCTAAGTGGTGACTGTCCTAACTAATAATTGAGGAAATATTTATTTTTTTCTGAAGTGACTCATTGGATCAAGTGCACCCCATCTGATTTTCCCCATAGTTTTTCACCAACCTAGCTCCTTCCTTCCTGTTGCAAAGGTTGTGAAAAGCCCTTCAGTGTTGCCCCAGGTCCCTAGAATTTGGAAATAAGAAAAAGCAGATCACACAATGGTGTGGAGAAACTAAGGAAGGAAAATGGAAATTCCAAATAACATGAGGACAGCTGAGGAAAAGAGAAGGCATCAAGACTTGGGTAAGTGTGCATTGGGCAGGAGAATTTACAGAGGGATTAATTCCAGCAACTGGAAGCCAGAAGTACTTCTGGTTAGGGGAGGTTCAAACTGAGGGCTTGTCCTATCTGCCCAGGAGACAAAATCTTCCAATGTTCCCACCTCTCTTTTCCTCTCCTGAAGAGGGGCCCTTCAAGGTACCCTGAAGAGCTGATGAGAAGCTCCTGTAGAGCATCCTGACTGCAACTCTGCCAGACCTAGGGCCCTTCCAAGGCTTAAAGAGCTCTGATGCCCAGAACCATAGAAACCCAAAGGAGTTGGGGTCCAACTTATCATTGAATAGGAATCCTTTCTGCAACATCCCCAATGGCTAGCACTTGATGACCTTTAGTGATGGGAACCACCCCTCCCCCTACATCCTGAGGCAACTCATTCCATAGCTGGACACCTGTGATTGCTAAGCAGATTTGCTCATTTCAAATCTAAATTTACCTTCTTAGTCTTCTGCCCATGGCTCCTAGGTCTGCCCACCATCTTAGCAGAACAAACCTAATTCTTCCTTGATAAGACAACCCTTTAAGTCTGCCCCAAGTGTTTTCTTCTCTTGATGAAACATTCCCAGTTCTATAAGCTGAGCCTTCCTTGGCGTGGTTTCCAGGTCCTTCACCACTGTGGTCACTCTCTTTTGAACATTCCTCAGCTCACATATTCTCTTTCCAAAATGTGTCACCCAGAACTCAGCACAATTATTTAAAAGAATGGAAGTATTTTGGCTTCTTTGACTCCAACCCTATATGCCCTGGAAAAAAACAGAACAACCTGGGTGGCCTTGGTATGGCCTTTCCTGGGGACCTTCCTGGAGAAAAGTAATCTCTCTGCATGTTTGGGGCAGTGGTACTGGGGGAATCTGTCAAGAGACAAGGCAAGCCCTTCCCACAGAACCTTTTAGACAGTCTTTTTCTAGCCCTGAACTAGGTAGACTCAGGCCTCTCTGCTAGAGAAGAAGCTCTGCCCTGCCCACTTTCTGCTTATTTGAACCTCCTATCTTTCAAAGTCCAGCCTAAGTCCCACTTCCTACACGAGGTTGTCCTTGGAGTTCTCCATGGCTACTTGAGCTCCTAGTGATCTTTCTCTTTTCTGAACTTCTAGAACAGAGTTGAATGGGATGTCCCAGTGAAGACTTCTCAGTGTAACTAAAGTTTGGGATAAGACTTTCCTAAATCTGGTAATAAGTTCAGGAGGCAGGATAGGGTTAAGTATAGATTTCTGAAAGTCCCCTTTTCTCCCAGTGCCACATTAGCAGTTAAAGTTTTCTAAGTCTGAAACCTCCTCCCTGCACTTAGTTGTAAGCTATATTTCTGTCGGAATAACCTGGCTCCACAGCACAATGTATATCAGTACTTAAAGTCTGAAATCTCCCTCCTGCACTTTGCTGTTACATCTGTAAGCTGTATTTCTGTCATGGTGACCTGGCTAATGTCTAGCTTGACTGCACATTTTTAATTGCTTTTTTGACATTATCTCAACAAACTAAGAAATATAGAGATGTATACTATTTCCTTCGTTCTATGGTAGAGTTTCGAGTTTGGGATTGTGAGCTGAGTAACAGACAGCTGGTGGGAGGGGACTTTACCCATTAGGGCTATTTAAATCTGGTTCTTTGTTTCTCCGTCTGTATTCCCTCATCGGATCATACTGGTGGAGGAGTACCCAAATCTCGACATTTGAAATAATAATAATAAATTAACTTTCTGCTTCTCCTTGGATACCTCTGTGTTTTTTTTAATTTGAGTGGCATCCCACACAGAGTATTTTTTCTTACCAATCATTTGGTATTGCTTTTTAACTTTTTAATGTGTTTGTGTCTTGTTTCTCAAACTAAACTTACACCATCAAATCCTTGAGGGCAGAGATCATATTTGTCTTCGTTGCTCCTATGGCACTTAGCACGTGGCAAATAATCAATTAATGCGCGTTGATTGGCTTTTTAAAGTCTAGTTTTCTCCCTTCTTGCCAAGCAAGAGGATCACTATCTTTGTAGTAACTAAGGATGGGCATAGTATTTGGGGCTTAGAGAAAGGACTTGGCCTGAGATGCTTGTGTGTGTGTGTGTGTGTGTGTGTGTGTGTGTGTGTGTGTGTGTCTGCCCAGACACAACCTCCATCCCAGATTGACTTGCATCCACTTTACAGCCATTTGCATACTAGTAATTTAATGATAAGATACACAAAAATCCTCCTTGTCCATTGGCCCTAACTTTCCTTTTGTACCAACCACAACCCTTGCTGTTCCTGGCTGAGTGAGTCAGTTGGGAAAACAAAGCATTCGCCAAAGGATGAAGAATGAAGCAAAAGGGTAGCGAGAGTCTGAGGCTATGGCAAGTGGCTCTTCTAGGACTGTGGTGAAGGGGCTGGTGCCACGAGTGTTCATCTATACAGCTTCTATGGCCCCCTCCTGATGGGCCTGCTGGACTGAGGATTCCCCAGGAAGCTCCCCATTGCTCTGCCTGTGCCTTCTATGGGCTCCCCACCCCACAGATCCCAGGGGTCCTGTGGGAGCCAGCAGGAGGCAGCATGATGGGGAGCACTGGGTCCTTGGGAGAATCCATTCTTTGCATTGCAGGGATGTGCAGGGCCATCATGGTGCCAGTCACACTAGAAGCAGGATTCTGGGGGAGAGAGGGAGAAACAGGAACTGATACATAATCCAAGCTGAAGCAGAGCCCACAAAAGCCCACATTTAATGAGGTTTACATCTCGAAGACTTCTCTCTTTAAACTACTTTAGTTGAGCAAACTAAAGGACAAGGTTGTTTCCAGACCCATCTCAATGACCCCTTCTTCTGGTAAGGTTAATTCTCTCAGCTTGAGATATCCTTCTTGTAGATCTCCTCTAAAACCAGCTCAAACCTCCATTTCTTGAGGGAAGTCTTCTCTCACTAATTCCATCAATTGCACATAGCCCCCGATACAAGCAGCCTCTCCTCAACTCCAAGGAAGGCTGTTTTATGCTACAATGTTGCTATGTGGCTTTATAATAGCATTGACATAGGGCCTTAATATTGCAAAGCACTTTACACATTACCTCATTTGATCTTCATAACAATCCCGAGGCAAGTCTATTATTATCACCCCCATTTTACAGATGAGGAAACTAAGGGAGACAGAGGTTATGTGCCTTGCCCAAGCTCACACAACTAATAGGTGTCCAAGGAAGGATTTGAACTCCAATCTCATTGATTGCAAGCCTAACACTCTGTGCACTAGGCCACGTATGCACATTGTCTCATAGAACCAGAAAACATTAAAGCTTGAAGGAAAATTAGAAATCATCTAGCCTGGCAAGGAGGGAAATCTGTGAACATGGCTTTGAAAAATATTTTGGTAACTATTTCAATTTAATATAAGATATGAGACATGATATAATATAATGTGCTATAATGGAATACAAGGAATATAATATAAAATAATGATATAATGTAATGTAACATAACGTAATATAATTATATATTATAACATTATATAATATGGTATAATATTTATTTTTAATCCTATTTATTTTATTTTGTGCATTAAAAACATTATTCTGAGAATGGAATCTGTGACACAAAAAAGGAAAAGAATCCCTGATCTACTTGTTGTTATTGTTTATTCATTTCAGCTGGGTCAGACTCTTGGGGACCCCATGTGGGGTTTTCTTGGTAGAGATACTAGAGTGGTTTGTCATTTCCTTCTCCAGTTCATTTTACAGATGAGGAAATTGAGGGAAACAGGGATAGGTGACTTTCCCAGGGTCACATAGCTAGTAAGTGTCTGAGGCCATATTTGGAGCCAAAAAGATGAGTCTTCCTGATTCCAGACCCAGCACTTTATCCCCTGTGCCACCTAGCACCCAGAATAATATATTTATTTTTAATCCTATTTATTTCATTTTGTGTCTATCACACACAACAAAAAGATAAAACTCCCTAATCTAGTTCAACCCACGGTTCTATAATTAGTTAGTAATAAAAAAAAAAGGTACTACTGGGTATCCTGACCTGGGTCTAGCATATAACACCCTTCCCATCAGAGTGAGAGATCCCTGGGGTATTTTCCCCATCAGATTAGGGGCTCAGTGAAGGCAAAGGCTGCCTTTCCTCCATTCTCCGGATCCCCCTGGCACCCCCACCCCAGGCAAGCTCCAAGGGAAGAAGGATGCATACAGAGCATCTGGTCAGTGTTGTTCAGTGACTGCCTAACATAGAGGGAAGCCATGATTACCGGTAACAATGAGGGTAGCTGTGCTGACTGCCTGGCCCAGCTTGTTCTCAGCCACAGCCTTGTACTTGCCGCTGTCCTTGGGGGTGACACTGGGGATGACCAAGGAGCAGACGCCCAGGACATCTGTACTATATACATTGGGATTGCCTTCTAGGCTCTCATCATCCTTGAACCAGGTGACTCTAGGTCTAGGCTCTCCCTTCACAGCACAACTCATGCAGCATTCACAGCCTTGGGGCAGCAGGTGGGTTCGTAGATTGACCAGGAAATAGGGCTTCTGGCTCAGATTTGGTTCCTTGAAGTTGGGCATCTTCACCATGAACTTATCTGCAATGATAACACAGAACAGGAGGCTAGAGACTCAGGAAGGAATGATAGTAGGATCATAGATTTAAAGTTATAAGGGACCCCAGAAGTCTTCTCGTCCCACCCCTCCCCATAGCCCCACAATCCCTGGTTCTGCCCATCTGAATTTGCCTCTTTGATTTAGAGAGTACAGATTAAATATTAGAAGGAGCCTTAGAAGTCACCTTTCTCCCTCCATCCCCTCATTTTACAGGTGAGGAAACTGAGATCCAGAGAGGTGATATATCTTACCCCAGTAGCCCAGCTCAGATTTGAACCTAGGTCTTCTGATTTCAAATTCAGCACTTTCTACTACACCATAATACCTACTGTCAGTGTGTATATTCACAACCATACTCATGCATGTGTATTTAATAACTATATTTATTAGACTATAAAAGGCACTTTTTTCCCAGAGAAAAATGAATGCAAATTTGTCTCATCCCCAGGCCCACTCTCTTTTCTAGCTGTGATCCAGGGGTGACAATGACACAGATAAAGCAATTATACCCCCCTCACATAACCCCAGTCACAGAGATACAAAGGGTCATGTATGAAGAGAGACAGATATATGGCCACTCAAGAGTGGGTGGGTGGACCGGTGAAGGGGTAAGTAGTTTGGTGGATGAGAGAAAAATGAGGTGAGTAGGAGGAAAGGGTTAAGTAGGCTAGGAGGAGAAGTGGTCAACACCTCCAGGCTGCCACCTAAACTTGGGCTTCAGCTCTTCTCTCACCTTTCCCTCTCCTGTGCTCCTTTTTCCAAGTTCTCCCCCAGCTCTTGAATTATGAAACCTACAGCACTGTCCAGTGCAATGGCCAGGAGTCCTAGAGCCCAGGTTTTGATCTCTGCTTTAATACTAAATTAATGTATAACCTCATACGAGCTCACCTCTCCACTCTGGGTCTCAGTTTTCTCTTTTGTAAAATGAGGGAACTGGGTTAGATGGTCTTAGAGATCCCTTCTGGCTCTCACATACTATGTTTCCAAGTTATGAAAATGATAGGCGAAACATCCCGGAGCCTGAGTCCTCCCATCTATTTCTGAAAACCCCTCCCTCCTTGTCTTCTTCAAGAGTGATTCACCTGAAAGACCCCCAGGGCCAAGGCATAGACCCTCTCACCTCGTTGCCGGGGGACACTCCAGGGCTCTGTGGTGTCAGAGGGCTCACTGGTCCCCAGTTCATTCTTAGCCACAACTCGGAAGTAATACTGATGGCCAGGGAGGATGCCAGCAAGAGTGAAGCGATTGGTGTAGATCCGGTCCCCTGCCTCCCTCCAGGCAGCGTGGGCCGAGGAGCGTGTTAGCACAGTGTAATAGAGAGAGCCACCCTGACCATCATCTGGAGGTGGCTCCCACACTGCTGTCACTGTCCCAGGGACATTCTCCTCCAGCCGGATGGGCCCTGGGGTAGCAGGAGATGCTGTAGGAGGAGAGGATCCATGTGTAAGCAACTCTGGTTATTTATTTTGTGGGGTACATTTGAAATCTTAGACCATTTTTTCCTCTGCTAATAAGCCTGCTCCTCAGAGAGGGGATATGTGGCCAGGAAATACAGGTGTATTTTAATATCAACTAAGACCCAGTGATTACCAACCTAAGTTTAGTATGTGATGCCCCTGGAAGAGGGGGGTGGGTAGGGAGTCACCAATTATCTCCAGGAGTATAGCTAAATTTTTCACTCTACTGAAAAAAAATTTTTTTTCTCAATTCACTTGAAACTTTTAAACAAATGGGCTAGTTTTTAAAAGCAGTAGGGCTGCCTCCAATTCTAGAATGCATTTCCATTCTCTTCCTTCAAAACAAGCTCAGGTGCTATCTTCTCCATGAAGCTTTTCCCAAGGTATCTCCTTATTCCTTACAGCTGAAAATATTCTTGACCTCAAATTTCCTTCCCTCTAGCCCTCCTTTACTCTATCACCTTGTATTTGTTATTATATTTATCTATTTCCCTCTTCACCACCTCCCCACACACCATCCCTAGCAACCAGAAGGCAGAAACTGTTTTGTCTCCTATATGCCTGGCATATATTAGGCATTAATAAACATCTGTTATTTACTGATTACTTCTCAGTTAATTAGATAATGGCATTATGTCAGTGTGCTGTCTGTTTCTATGTCAGCTTTCTGGTCTGACTCTTAAACTCCTATAAAAAACAAGGACTGGGTTTGTGTGACTCCTTGGGTCATCTCCAGTGCCACCTACAGCTACCCACTTTATGAATAATTTTTTGATTATGTCAATTATAAAGTCTATATAATCCTCAGCACACTTGCCCAAGATGATAAAATGAGGTTGTGTAAGAGAATTTGTGTCGCTTCTTAATCCTCATTCTCCTTGATCTTTCTGCAGCTTTTGACACTCTTGATTGCCTTTTTCTCTTTGATACTTTCTTCTGTCTATGTTTTCAGGATTCTGCTCTCTCCTGCTTCTTCTCCCACCTATCAGTGCGTTCCTTAGTCTTCTTTGCTGGATCCTTATCCATTTCATGCCTATTAACTATAGGTGTCCCACAGGGCTCTGTCCTGAGCCTCCTCTCTTCACCTATTATATTGCTTTACTTGGTGATCTTATCAAATCCCATGGATTTAATTACCATCCCTAGCCTCTCTGCTGACCTCCAGTCTCAAAATTCCAGCTGCCTGAGACCTCATGAGCTAGATATCCAACAGACATCTTAAATTCAACATTCAAATTGCATCTAAAATGGAAAGCCTTTCCCAGTCCCTCTTAATGCTAATGCCTTCTCTCTGTTGATTATTTCCAATTTGCCCTGTATGTAACTTTTTTACCCATATTTGTTCTGCATCCTGAAGGACAAAGATTATTTATTGCCTCTCTTTGTGTCCCCAGCACTCAGCACAGTACCTGGCACATAGTAGCCACTTAATAAATGCTTACTGACTGACTGACTGACTGACAATTCACAGGGAAGTTCCTAGGGCTGAGGAATAGTGGGATCTAATCCCCAATCCTTCTCTACCTCCCCGCTCTCCATCTTTCATATTTGAGAAGTGGTGGGAAGATTTATCTCTCATTGCTAAGGTGGTGCACCTTAGCTAGAATCTCTGTTTCCCTATGATGAGTGGGTAAGTATGCTCCTTAGGTACAGTCCCAGCCCCACAGTCTGAGTCAATATTGGCAATATTTAAGGGGAAAGGGAAAGAGAATGATTTCCTTTACCTGACACTTGAATGACAAAGCTGTAGGTCACCTCTTTCCCCTGTAGGTTCCTCAGCGTCACAGTGTAGAGACCACCATCTGCGAGGCTGACCACCGGAATTAGAAGTTGAGTGAGGCCATCTTTGATGGTGGTGACTGTCCTCTTGGACAGGGGCAGCCCGTCTTTTAGCCAAATCAGCTCTGGCATGGGCGAAGCCTGTGGACAAATCCCCACAAACCCACCCTTTGGATTAGTCTCTCAGCTTGACTTTGACTGGCTCCCCTGGACAGCCCCATCTCTGTTCCTTTCCCATCACTGTGCTCAGCTGTGCCCACTGTGCCTTCTGTGGATGCTTCTGGATCCCTGTGTGATCTTGGGCACATTGTCACAATCCCCTTGGGGGGAGGCAACTAGAAGCACCTTGCCCATTTACAGGCAAGCTTTAAAAGTATCCAGGATAGAAAGGAAGGATAAATCTCTCTAGAGAATTGATCATCTGATCATCTTACTCATCCATAACTTTATTCCTACGTGCACACGCACACACACACACACACACACACACACAATCTCCAGACATAAGCCTAGCTCATGGGTCAGAGACTTTAGAATGGGAAGGGACTTGGGACAGCTAGATGGCGCAGTGGATAGAGCACCGGCCCTGGATTTGGGAGGACTTGAGTTCAAATCTGGCCTCAGACACATAACACATACTAGCTGTGTGACCCTGGGCAAGTCACTTAACCCCATTGCCTAGCCAAAAAAAAAAATTTTTTAAAAAAAGAATGGGAAGGGACTTTAGAGTGTCACCCTTCATTTTACAGCCTGCAAAATTTTCATGTATGTTTCAAGAACTAGGTACACATATCTCCTCAAAGAAATTTAGTCATGGTAGTTACTCTTCATCTATTGTCCTCATTCTACCATTCCTTCACTTTCCTAACTCCCAACACCAAAAGCTTATTCAATGCTAAATAAGATGGCCTCAGGGACCACTGACTCATTTCACTATCAGTCCCCTAAAGCAATCCTGCTTCCAAAAATCTCGTATGCATACATATGTGTATGTATGCATGTATGTATGTATGTAATCAGATGTCAAAGATAATCTGGGTTTGGATAATCCATGATGCTGGCCACTTCCATTCATGTGAATAATGGTGAATTGCCGGTACAGGTAGTAAAAGTTTAGAAATGCATTTGTCTCTAGACTCCATTTCTAATTCATCCCCACAGGCCTTTCTCTATGGTATCATAGGAACCTCTTTACTCAGAAAACTCCTTCCACCCCTGGGCTTCTCCCACTGGAAGAAACTCTCAACCCCTGATTGGCTTATTCTCCCGGAACCTCCATTTTGAAGAAGTCCATGCCAAATATATCTTCATTTCTCTCCAGGCTGGACTCCAGTCTCTAGATTTTCTCTACCATGCTGCCTCCACATCCCTTCATTCCCCCACCCCTTTTTCATGTGTTGTCTTCCTCCATTAGAATTGCATCTCCTTGAGGGTAAGGACTATCTTTCTTTCTTTCTGTATTTGTATTTCCAGTGCTTAGCATAGTGCCTGGCACATAGTAGTAAGTGCTTACTAATAAATAATTGTTGACTTGCTAACTTCACTTGAGGTGCAATATCTGCTGTTCTCACTAGAAGACAGACTTGTAGAGCTGTATCACCCTTTAAAGGGGGGAGGGGGATGTGGGAGGAGTCAATCAACAAGCACTTGTAAGTGCTTATTACGTGCCAGAGATTGTGCTGAACACTGGGGATACAGAGGCAAAACCGACGAACCAAAAACCCCAGGTCCTGCCTAGCAGGAGCTCACAATCTGATGGGGAAGACCACTCGAAAACCACTCTGTCCCGAGCAGAAACATACAGCGGAGATGGCCGGTGACCTCAGAGGAAAGGCACTGGAGTCGTCCTTTCGATTACATTCATAGAAGTGTGTGATGTTAGAGCCATGGAATCATCATGCTAGACCTAGAAGGCATTCCAGATCACTTCCTCTATCTCATCCACCTCCCCTGTTCCTGCGCTGCTGAACGGAGCTGAATGAAATCATGAAACCCTACTGAATTAACCCACTGCTCATTTATATTAACCACCTCAACTGAGCCCATGCTGCTGCAGGGCAGAGGTTCTCTTCCTCCCTAATTAATTTCCTGTCTTACTCTCTACAATGGCTGTCCCCCATCTCTTCTCCCTTCAAACCTCCTGAGGCACCCCCTCTTCCCAGTTCTATTTGAGACCATTCACTGAGAGATTCTTCCTTCTCCTTCTTCCTTTTCTCACATCATTCAGACATCTTCCCTCCCTATGTCCTCCTTCACCCTGGTCTCAGATGAAGAGGTGACCCTTCTGCTTTCCAAATGTAACCCATTCACCCAGGCCTTTGATCCCATCCTCCCCACTCTCCCTCCTCTTCAGTCTCTATCTATTGGCCCATTCCCAAGGCATCTCAAACCTTACACATGCAAAACAGAATTAATTTTCTTTCCTCTCAGACTCTCTTCACTTCCAATTTTTTTTATTACTCTCAAGAGCAGCGCCATCCTCCCAGTTAGCCAGGCTTGAAACCTTGATGGCAACCTCAGCTTCTCTCTGTCTCTCAGACCACATATCCAATCCACTGCCAAATCTTGTCATTTCTGCCTTCACAACATCTCTTACACCACCTGTTCTTTCTGCTCACAGCCCAGCCACCAGCCTAGTCTCACCTGGACTGCTACAGTATCTCATAACTGGTCTCCCTATATCTTCTGTTGTTGTTGCTGTTGTATCATTTCAGTTGTATCTGACTCTTCAGGACCCCATTTGGGGTTTTCTTGGCAAAGATACTGGAGTGGTTTGCCGTTTTCTTTATTTTACAGATGAGGAAACTGAGGCAAACAGGATTAAGTGACTTGCCCAGGATCACACAGCTAGTAAGTGTCCTAGGCCATATTTGAACTCAGGTTTTCCTGACTCCAAGCTTGGAACTTTATCCACTGCACCACCTAGCTGGCCCTCCCTGTATCTAGTCTCTCTCTACTCCAATTCATCCCCCTCTCAGTCAGCAAGGTGATTTTCCCAAACCATAGGGCTGACCCTGCCGTTGCCCCTACCCGGGGAGCTCAGTGACTCCCTAATTTCTTTAGGAATAAATATAAACTCATCTGTTTGGCCTTTAAGATCCTTCACCACCTGGCTCTTTCTTACCTTCCCCAGTCTTCCTAGACTTCTTAGACTTCATTCCCCTTTGTGCACTGTATGATCCAGCTAAGCGGGATCATACTTGTCATTCCTTGCATACATTTTAACAACTCCCATCTTTGCACTGGCACTCCATGCCCCCTCACCAACTATCTCTCAGTTACCCTGGCTTCCTTCAAGACTCAGCTCAAATCCTAGCTTCTACAAGAGGTCTTGGCAGCCCCTCTCCCTAAGCTAGTGCCTTCTCCTTTCAAGTTACCTTTGCCCTACCCTGAATAATAGATTTTATGCATACTTTATTATTTACAGGTTGTCTTTCCCATTAAAAATATTATTATTTTGGGCAGACATGGGCTGAGATTTATTCTGAATTACCGAAGTAAGACTTGACCAATGAGATGACAGATCCATTTGAATATTTTATGTCAAATTTATGTCCATTTACGTCAAAATTGCATTTAGAGTTTATTTCTTTTAAGTTAGCACTTAGAAAAAACTATGATTCTTGACAGAAGGAAATTTTATTTTACCTTTCTTCGTATTCCCAGCATTTAGCACATAGTAGGTCCTAAATAAATGCTTATTGGCTAACATCTAGTCTAACTCCCTTGTTTTACACAGTAGGTCCTTAATAAATGCTTATTGGCTAACATCTAGTCTAACTCCCTTGTTTTACAGATGAAGAAATTGAGACCCAGAAATATAAAAGGCTTTTTGAGGTCCCTTTTAGCACTAGATTTCTGATCCTATTATCCTATCAAAATGAATTGCCTGGGTCATACAGATAGTATGTGTCAGAGATGGAATTGGAATCCAGTCCCTCTGACTCCAGGTCAATGCCATTTTCATTGTACAGTGCTGAGCTGGAAGGGACCTTGTCTCCTAGTCCAACCCCCTTCTTCTATAAAAGACAGTGAGGCTCAGAGATGAAAAGAGTACTTGTGAAACATGCTGGGTTAATCCATAGCTAGTTAGTGTCAAAGCCAGGTCTAAATTAGTAACAGTTCACTTTTATGTAGCACTCTAAAGTTTACAAAGGGTTCTCACAGAAACAATTCCATAAAGTAGGTTCTCTAAGTATTATTATCTCCATTTTATAGAGGACAGTAACCAGGCTTAGGTTAAGTGACTTGCTCGTGATTACACAGTCAATAAGTGTCCGAAGCAGGATTGGAACCCAGGTCTCCTTAGCTCCAGGTCCAGTATTCTTTCCCATTATATCCTAGTAACCCAGATCAGCTCTGCACTATGTCAAACTCTTTACACCTGAGAAGATTAAATTGATTCTGTATCATGTTTTATTGATTCTATTTACAATTAATTAATTTTGTCCTGTAACAGCTTAAGTCGTGGTTCTCTGTCTCTGAACTTAGTTCAGAATTCAGCTGGTCTGCAATGGATTAAGCTTAGAACTCCATCTCTCTTGCTAATCACTGTTTTATTCTTGCCTACAGGAACTCTTCTAACTTTGGGTTATGCAGGTGGACACAAGGGAGTCATGTCTAGTATCTTACAGCACCAAGCTATCCTTCAAGGATGTCTGGTTTGCTATCGGCACTTTCTTGCAGATAGACTCAAATAATGAACACATCTTAGTCACAGAAGAGAAAGAGGGGGTTGCTGCTGGCCCCTCATTCCCAACTTCCAGCCAATCATATTGTTCCCCACATTTGTAGCTGTGTAACCAGTCATGATGCCCTCAACCTGATGATGTCGCCTACCCTGTTGTGTTCTTTGTTCTGTGCTCCCCAAAGCCTATAAAAGGGGAGCTATCTTTTTTGCTCAGAGTCTTGGCATAAATGGAGGCAAGCCATGGATCCCTTCATAGGCAGGTAGAGCCCAATTAATAAAATTATATTTTGCTCAGAGAACGTGCTTCAGTTATCTTTTTGTTAAATTTCACTCATAACACACCTCAACAAAATGTAGTCTGGTTTCTTGTCCATCTCCTGAACACTAGGGAAGAAGGCTGAAAAATCCTCAGCTTTCATGATGGGGTCCTTACTCCCTGGTCCCAGCTCTGATCACTCCTACACAAAGGTGGACTCACCTCAAAGGAAACAGGAACTCGGACCATGTCCCCAGACCTGACGGTCACACGGTCTGTGGTGGTGGTATCCATGAGGAACTTGGGAGGAACTGGAAAGCAGACAGCCTTGGTCATCTCTCTCCCTCTCCTCTGCCCCCTGCCCTCAACCTCTGCCTTAGGATAAGGGGAGAAGGTCTAGAGAGTAAGTGAATATCAGCCCACATGACTCTTCCTAGCTAGAAGCCCAACCTGTCATTTTCTTTGGGCTCAGTCAATTCAATTACAGGTACAGATACCAAGAAGACAAAAAAAAGTCCCAGGGCTGGGAGAATTGAGGGTGTTGGAGGGCTTGGGAGAAGTGAGGTGAAAAGGTACAGGGACTGGTAGGAAAATATTGGGAGAAGGGGAAGGAGAAAGAGGACAAAGAGAAGGAATAGGTTGAAAGAGAAATGTTAAGGGTGAAGGGATGGAGAAGTAGAGTTAGTGGTTCCTACAGTGGATAGATATCCATGAGTACTGGGGGCAATATTGTCTCTACTCAGTTGTGACTTCCCCTTGTAGACACCACTCCCACCTAACCTGAGGTGAGAGTTGGAGATGAGATGAGAGCAGAGAAGGAATCCTGAGGTCTGGTAAAGCCCCCTCAAGTCAGAGGCTCCTGAGTTTATATTGGGAGAAAGCACAGCTCCTTCTACATGACTACGTGGAATCAACATTTTCTCATGGAAGCCCTATTCACTTTGCAGAACACCAAGGTTCTGAGGTTCAAAAAATATACTTTTCTAACCCCTTAATTTTACAGATAAGGAAACCGAGGACCATGGTAGTGAAATGATTTAGCCAAAGTCAATTATGTGTATGAAATGATAGGAAGATTAGCTGGTGTCTTGGAAGTCAAGTATAACAAATGCCAGTGAATGTAGGCAGGGATGCTCTTTGAGCAACACATGGGTGGGGATTGGAAAATGGAAGGAATAGGAGAACTGGTACTTACTAGATGCAGGCATGGCCTGGATGCAGGTGTCCAGTGTGGTGGGCTGGCCCTGACCCCCATCATTGACAGCTGTTACCCTCAGGAAATAGGCCTCCTGTGGCCGGAGTCCCTTGATGGTATAGGTGGTGCCACCCACAGTGCCTGGGTGGCAGCGGCTCCACTGGAGACTATCTGAGCTCCTCAGCTCCACCATATAGCCCTGGACTTCATCCCCACCCTGGGCATCTGGACTGGCCCAACTCAACGTGATGCTGGTATGGGATGTGTCAGTCACCTGGAGATCACGAACAGGGCCAGGGGGTCCTGGAAGGATACAGTGGGAATGTCAGCTTCTAAGGATGGAAAACCCCTTCCAGAGGGAGACTTGTTTTTATAAAGTACAAGAAATTTAAGTTTCCCTATAGGAAGTCAAGAGTTCTTCTTCGTTGACTGGTCTGTTCTCTATAGAATGACATGCCTAGAGCAGCTTCCCTTCTCTGTTCCACAATTTGCTCCATCATTGTTTAAGGTAACTTCCTTCAAGCTCAGCCCGCCCTTTCTCCAACCTGCTATACAGCCTCTGATCCAAACACTTTTCCCTTAGAGTCCTTCTGGGGTCACTATAGATTTCAGTTGATTTCTCATTATATTCTAAACTCCCTTGGAGAACATTGTACACTGTAACAGCAATAGTATAATCAGCTTGTGAGAGACTTGGCTACTCTGAGCAATACAATGATCTGTGACAATTCCAAAGGATTCATGACCAAAAAAATGCCCACCTCCAGAGAGAGATCTGATGAACTCTGACACAGAGTTGTTTTTCATTTTCTCTATTTTTCTTGCTTTATTTGTAACATAGTTGATGTGGAAATAAGTTTTGCATGACTTCATGTGTAGAATGGGTATAATATGTCTTGCCTTCTCAGTGGGTAGGAGAGAGAATTGGAGTCAGGGAAAGAATTTCAACTGAAAATAATATGTTTAAAAATTATGGAGATGGGGTCAGTCATCATGAAGTCCTGGATCCAGGTTCCCTGGGTCCAGAGGCCTTCACAACTGTCACTCAGAATTCATATTGACAGCTCTGTGTTATGTCCGTCATTATCCTTTAATCTGTATCCTAAATGCCTGTTCCAGAGCCATGCTTTCTTAATGGCTTTATTCAAATGTACTAAGAGATTTGCAAACCTGAACACTGCACCAATACAGACTCCCATTTATCCTCCTCACCCCTGTCCAATACCTATGTGTCTAATGAAGACTAGGACACTTATGTTGGATTTATGTTAGACATTTGAACAATATGTAAGGAAGTCTATCTTTTTTACCTGCATATTCACTTTCATGTTTTGGTGATGTCTGAACCTGCAGTGAATGACCATTTACAAGGCTGTGCAAGTTGCCCAACTGAGTGGGCTGGATTAGGGACCTGCCCTATGTAGAGACTGGGGGGGATGAGTAAGAAGGAGGACCTTATAGTCTGAAGGGTCTACACTGTGTTCCTGTTCTCTATTTGAGGGAATCTTTATGTTCCATCTATATGCTGAATCCCAAAGAACATGGTACTACTGACCTTTAGACTGCCTGTCTTTTCCTGAACTTTGATTTTCCTATACTAACTGCTCAATGACTCTTCATTTTCTCCCCATTGCTCCCAGAGTTGCCTTGCCAGGGTCAACATCTGCACTTACTCATGGGGTCTCGAGCAAAAACAGCATCTGATGGGGGTCCAGGCTCCCCAGGGCCAGAGGCCCCCACAGCAGTCACTCGGAACTCGTATTGACAACCCTGCAGCAAGTTGGTCACAGTCCATTTTCTCTCTGTGAATATTCCGATACTCCAGTTAGTCCTAGGAATCCAGCAGCCAGTCTGAGCCTTAGTCCCCTAGAAAGCTTCCCAGGCAGGGATCCTACTGTGCCCCCACCCATTTCACTATGACCGGCTAAGCCCATAGCAAGACCCTCATGGTGACTGGAGTCCTCTGGATGACAGAGATCATGGCAACAGCGAACTCTAACCCAGACAAGGTATCCTAGGGATTGCAATCATTGAGTTCAATCCCTCCATTTTTTAATGATGAAGAAATATGTATTATATGAATATATCAGAAAGTATAAATAGATAGTAAAATATGGCTATGTACTATATATATGTAAAGTATGCATATATGTGTATAAAATAAAGTATGGATATATAAGTATGAACGTATGTATGTTTAAAAAGTATATATTTATAACTATGTGTATACAAATGTAAAATAAAGTGCCTACATATAGGTACGTATATATGTGTATGTGCATTGTATATGTGTATGTGTATGTATACGTATAAGTATGTGCATATGCATATATTGGAGAAGGAAAAGGCAAATTACTTCCATATCTTTGCCAAGAAAACCTCATAATGGGCTCATGAAGAGTCAGACACAACTGAACAACTGAACAACTCTATGCATGTATATGTCCACACATATATAAAATAAGACATATATATATATATATAAAATAAAGTATTTTATCTTTTAAGTTCTCTGTATGGTCTTTCTTTCTATCATATCTATAAGGATCGTAGGAAAACAGGAATAAGGAAATAATAAGGAAACTGAAGCTCAAAAAATGTAAGTAATTTACTCGAGGTCCTACAGAAAGTTAGTAATAAGGATGAGATTAGAACCATGTTGTCCTGACTGTTAATCACATTGTGGTGTCAGGCCATTTCAATTTGAATCCTAGCCCCTTCACTATCTAGATATATGAGGATGAGCAAGTCCCTGCCCCTTTCTGGGCCTCAGTTTCCTTCTCTGTAAAATGAGCAAGTTAGAGTAGATGATCTCTGAGATCCATTATCATTCTAAAATACCAAAGGATCTTTCTATTAAATCATGGTGATGTAAGTGGAAAACAACAATCTGTAGGACTGAAAAAATGGGAGGATAAGGAATGCAGTTTGACTGAATTGTTAGGAACTGCATTGACCTGGGCATAGACCCAAACCCAGAGCTGAACATAGGAATGACAATAAAGTATTGCCTTGCTTGTTGGCACCTCGGTCAGGCCCAGGGACTTAATGCCAGGGTCCAGTGGTGTCTGCTTCTGCCACCTCACCCTCCATATTCCCTTGCTCCTCACTCAAGCTTGCTCACCGGAAACAGGCTGGTCATTGACAGCTGTCCAGGTATTGCTTCCTTTCTTCCTCTTCTCAATCAAGTAGCCGAGGAGGTGAGCGCTTCCTGGGCCCTTAGGTGCTGTCCATGTCAGGGTGATACCCTGGCTGGTAGCAGATGTAATAGTTGGGGCTGGAGGGGGTCTAGGACGAGCTATGAGAAAAGTCAAGGGGTGATGCAAATGTATGTCAGGGGTCAGACTATTCTCTACGTTGCTTGCTTTTTTTTCTGAGGCAGAGAGGAAATCGCACCATGCACAGCATCCTGCCCTTTGGAGCATATATGCCCAGCCTGCTGCAGGGAGTTCAGCTTACACTGGATGAGCGCAGAGAGGGATCAGTAGCCTAATGTAGTGCCTGAGACCTCTGTACCTAGAGCAAATTTTCTAGATCTCTGCAGAATAAAATCCCTGGGCCAGGGGAGATTGGATGGAGGGTGGAGTCTGATGTTTTCCAGAGACACCAACCTGCTCAGCCTCTCACTTCCAAAGCCAAGGACCAGGTAATCACCTCCCACCTGGGCCACGTGCGATTTCATCCACACAGGAAATGCCTGGCGGTTAATTCCTACCAGTGCAAGCTGGCACTACAGTTTTAGACAGTTGCCTAGGGTGCTAGGATGCTAAGTGACTTGGTCACAGGGCCAGTGGGTGTTAGAGACTGTTATGGACATAGATCTGGAAGGGACCTCAAAGAACCTTTAGTCTAACCCCCTCTGAGGACAAAGCAGGCTGAAGGAGATTAAGTGATAAGTGATTTCACTAGGGTCACACGGGTAATTAGAGGTAGGATCTGGACCCAGGTCACAGGTCATAAACTCATCACTTTAGAGTTAAGCTCGACCTTGGAGTTGCTCTGACACCAAAAGCAATCTAGTTCACAGCTATCATGGCCCCTACTATGGAAAACACCTCCCCAAAGCATCTGGCCAAATCCTTTGCCTCAGAATCTCAAGGGCACTTGCTGACTCCTCCTAGAGGAAGCCACAGTTCCCCATATCCCTGGCTTTGTCCTAGCTGGGATTTACCCAGCATATTCTGGGCAATGATTGGGGGTTCTAAACAAAGTGCGCCTCTCTGACTTTCCCCATTCTCTCACTCACCTTCAGAAGCCACCAGAAGCTCCTCTGACACAAGTGCTTCTCCAGAACCCTCTGAGGTCACCGCCCGTACTCGGAAGCTATACTTCTTTCCTTCCTCCACTCGGGCATCAGAGAAGGTGGTGACATTTCCAGGGGTCTCACCAAGCTTCAGCCAGGTGGTCCTACCAGCCTGCTGCCTTTCCACCGTGTAGGTCAGCACGGCTCGGCCCCCATCGTCCCTCGGAGGCTGCCAACTCAGGTTGATGCCCGCCCCCCGACAGTACTGGACCTTCAGAGGGCCCTGTGGGTGCTGGGGCTTGTCTGGGGGCCAAAGGGAACAGGAGTGGTTAAAAGAGTGGGGATGTGTGTATGGATGTTTGTCTGCAGGGGGCTTGCACTGTGGGATCTTTTCCATTGCAGTAAACAGGCTAATAATGACTTTACCCTAACTTTCCTTCCAGGATTAGCCTATCCAGAGGACACTAGCAAGTGGCTAGTGGAGGAGTATGCATTTTTCATAAACTTTAGAGCTAGAAAGAATCTTAGCACCATCTAAGTTCAACCTTCCTAATTTAGAGATAAGGAAATTGAGGCCCAGAGAGGTCACAAAGGGAGTAAGTGGCCGAGCTGGGATTTAAACCCAGGGACTCTGACTCCAAGTCCAGAAATCCTTCCACTACACCATGCTTCCAGGGTTAGCCAAGTGCTACACGTGAGTCTGCCTGGCCCCTAGCAAAGCCAGAAGCCCCTCAAGGGAGCTTCTCCTCCCAGAAGCTTCTTGGGCATGAATGGTATGGGAACTGGCCTGTTCTGGCCCAGAGACTACCATTCTTGCTCTTATCTTTGGGCACCACTGCATCACTTGCTACCTGCTACATTCACATAAGCTGGGTTCAGAGCACCCCAGGCTCCCCCCAGGTGATGATCAACCCATCCTTCTTCTAGGCTAGGCCAACCTAACCAGAAAAGGGCAGGAGAATCCCCTGGAGAGGAAACAATAGAAAACAGAGTTGGGTTGGGGGTAAAGGTAAAGTTTGGACAATAAAATGAATAGGATAGCATGAAACACTCATTCATAGGATCAAGAGCTGGAAAGGACTTTAGAAATCATTCATAGGGTGGGATTTGAACCCAGATCCTGTCACTTCAAATCTATGGCCCAGAAAACATCTGCCAGAGCCCCACAGTATGGTCTAGCATGTCCTCTCCTTGACTAAGACTAAACCAAGCCTCCTATACAATCCCTTGGGGACCCTGGCCAGAAAAGAGAGCTGGGTCTAGCACCTATGACCTCCAGGGTGAGTTGAGCCTCCACCGAGCCCCCTGCATTCCTCAGTCGCACGCTGTATTGCCCACTGTCCTTGCGACTGGCGCTGGAGAGGCACAGGCGAGTGAAGTTATCCCCCTGTTCCAGCTGGGCTCCTCTGCTGCCTCCCTCCACTTCTGCCCCATCCTTCCTCCAAGAAGCTTGAACAGGGGACTCTCCAGAAAACGGGATTTTCAATGCAACAGTCTTCCCTGCCTTGACCACCAATGGCTCCTTCAGTTTCTCCAGCATATCCTGGGCAATGGTTGGGGGTTCTAAACAAAAAGGAACAAGGAATTAATTCAGAAATGGTCCTAGGTCCATGGACAGGGCAGGGCAGGGAAATAAGCCCCAGGAAGAAGGGGCTAATGTTCTGTCTCACAGAGTAGTTGTAAGCAAAGCCTTTTGCAGACCCCTATGTAAATGTGGGTTGTGGTTGTAGGGGCTATTGTGTTATGGAAGGGAAGGGAAAGCAGTTGGCCACGGGATGGGGTTAAGGGAAGACAATAGTAAGGACTATCACAGTATGCAGAGGCCCACTGACTCCTCAAGAACAAAAGGGATAAATGAGGAGGCTTTGACTTCAGCATGAAGGATTGAAGCTAGTCAGGTACTATATGAAAAAATAGAATGGAGGAAGCCATGAAATGATTAGATAAAAGGACTTAAAACTGGAAGGGGATTTAGAGACCCATCTCAGGAAACTCACGCATTTTACAGTTAGAGAAACTGAGTCCCTGATTTGCCTTTACTGGAAGGATTTTAAAACAGAAGAATCTTTTCCAGCTGAGCAGGGGTTTGGTGCTATTCTAAAAAAGGTTTAGAACACTAAGATAGTCTATGCGACCAAATATTTGTGATAAGGGGCCCAAATATTTGGTGCTAGTCTAAAGAAAGCTTAGAATTTAAGATGGTCTAAAAGCCCAAATATTTGTGATAACCAGCTCAACCATGAGGGCTTTGAATGACAGACACCTAGATCTGGGTTTAGGTTTATAGATATTGACTTGGAAGAGGCCTTTGAGGTGTGTGCTGAAGCCTGCTCTTACTGGCTAGCTGATTGCTAAATTTTCAGTATAAGTATTCATACCTCAGTAATTAGCAAATGCTATACATCAGTGCTTAATTTGTTGTTCTTGATCATCTACACTTAATAAAGTGATGGAGAAAATGTTAGTGATGCAGATTAAATTGAAAAGTGTGTCATGGGTAGATTATATTTTTTGGAGAGCCAGTTGTTAAACATTGATCAGCACACACTGATAGTCCAACACCCACCTCCCTCCATTTTACAGGTCAGGACACTAAGACCAAGAAAGATGAAGTGCTTAGCCCAAGGTTACAAGAGTGGTGACAGAGCCAGGATTCAAACTCGAGTTCTCTGACTCCAAAGCCAGTTCTCTTTCCACCATCCAATAGTCAATTCTTAATTATTCATGCCAACAGAATAGAGTACTGAGCAGATAATCCAAGTTACTTCTGTATATTCACATATAGTTTCTTCTACACATTGTATGATTTGGGGGTTGGCAGGGGATGGTCACAGATTTTTCCTGCTGCTTCTGTTCAGTTCAGGATAATTCTAAAAGAAATCTGGATGGTCTACATTATCTGAGCTCACCCTGGGAGCTAGAGGAGGAAGGTACCCAGGAGAAGGCTGGAGCAGGTTAGAGGGTACCTTTTAACACCAGCCAAATATAATCTCTTGTTAAAGTCAACAAAGATGGGGTCTGCTGGGTTTTTGCTTTGTTTTCTGGTCTGAAAGCAGCCTGGGAAAGGGTAAAGGTATAGGGGTAGGGCCTCACCTCGGACAGTCAGCGTGGCCTCACTCGTGTGATCCCCAGCTACAAACATGTATTTTCCAGCATGGGCCTCCTGCACTTGGGGTATTTGGAGTTTGTAATTGGGGCCATCTTGCTCAAAGATGACCCCATCTTGGGCAGTGAGCTGGTAACAAGAACCACAGCAGGAGAAAATCACACTGCATCTGCTCCCCACACCTTCTCCAAGTCTGGCTAACCAGATGTCCCAGCCCCTGATGTGTGAGGGGGTGAAGCCCCCTTCATTGCCTGACATGTAAATTAAGTACTACAACTACAATCCCATTTAAAATGTACTCAAGAAGCTTGCTACAAGGCAGAGAAACTTTAGAGATCATCTAATCTAACACCCTCATTTTACAGAGCAGGCAGGGCTGAGACTAGAATCCGGGGTTCCTACTCCCACACCATTGCTTCTTTGAGGAATGTTTTCATAAGGCGAAACTTTCTTTCCCTCCCCAGTCTGTCTTTTTTGTACCATTGAGGCAGAAGGGGATGGGTACCTTCACTCCGTCCTTGAACCAGGCACCAAGCACCAGGTCACTGGTCAGGGTACAAGAGAGCACAACTTCTTCCCCTTTCTTGGCTTCCATGTCAGCTAGCCCCTGGGAAAAGCGACCTGATGGTCCTAGATAGACAAGGGAAAGTCCTAAGCCACAGAACAAGAGCCAGGCACAAAGCAGGGCAGGGGGAGAGTGCCCCCAGGCCCAGATTCACTTCCCAGAGTTCATGTCTAACATCTGGAAGATTGACCATAGTCCCTGCTAAGAACATTTGAAGGGTTCTGGTAACAATGCCATCAGCAGAGAACACAGGGCAGAAACCAAGTTGCCAGTTTCTTAGGATAGGGGACAGTAGGTAAGAGGAGGGAATTTTGGAGGACTCATTCAGCTAAATTAATAAAAAGCAATGAGATGCAAAATAACCCACAGAAGTGGGGGGGAGGGGGAGGGTTGTCATCAAATGGCTTAGGTGACAGAGGATTGGAATACATTCATGTCAAAATTAACTTAAAGGCACTTTAGAGCCAAGATCCCATCTATGTGAGGGACAAGAGGATCAGGGAAGACTCTCCCTTTTATTTGAAAAATCAATTTCTTTGATCACTGACAGTGAAAGGGTAGACTAGAACTCCCCCCACCTAGGCTGGGAACATCATCCTGATTCCCGGTAACCCAAAAGGTCTCTCCCACAAGTCAACCTCCACCCCTATGGGTGGCCAGCTGGTAAATACTTACCTTGGGTTTCCTCAAAGAAATTGCCTATGCCTTGCTTGTTTCTGTTTCTTGACCTTTGGGAAGTTGAATTTCTGTCCAAACCATCTTTCCTGTTGCCCTCATGGCCCATAGAATCCCTGCTCCGGTCTCCTTTCTGAGGTTCTCCTGGGAGCCTTGTGCTCTCGGTTCCATATCTTGATCCCCACGCCCTTCCTTCCCCAGACTTCCGTCTGTCTGAAATTCCTCTTCTAGCTCCTAACCCAGTCTGTGACCCATTCCATACCTGGGACTCCTGCCCCTCTGATCCAGCAACATCCTTAGTTCCTATTCTAGTCTTTCCTCCCCAGGTAGATGTAGAGGTCCCTTCCGCCTCCCTCCTCTCATAATTCTCCAGGGACCCTGTACCTTCTGGACTAATATTTTTTACATCCAGAGACTTCATATCTCCTCTGGCTCCTGATGGACCTTTGCCATCCAACCCTACCCCTATGCCCAACACAGACCCTGGGTCCCTGCTTCCCCCTGACCTATCCCCATAGCTTTTCCTTCCATCTTGGGCTTTCAGAGCTCCCTCTGTCCCTGACTGCTGAACTCCATTAGCAAAACTATCTCTCCATTGACTAGAATTCATTCTCACCAGCACATCTGAGTCCTTTGAACCTCCAGAGGCTTCCCCTCTGTCATCCAGGGATTCTGCTTCACCCCATCTACCAACTCCTGCTTGGCCTGGCACAAGCTTCCTGACACCCCAGGAATCATCACCCCCTGTTCCATTCAGAGTATCCTGGCTCCCATTAATGGTGGTATCTTTTGCTTTCAGGGTACCCTGTTCCCCTGAACCTTGGTATCTGTTCTTGGCACTTACTCCACTATTGCCTGGCCCCCGGCTCTTCTTGCCACCTGACTGAGTGTCCCCTATGCCCCGGCTTCCTGTTCTAATACAAATGTTCTCTTCTCCCTGCCTGGAGTGTGTATCCTGACCCCAACCTGAAATATTTGAGTTCCCTGATCCTTTTCCTGTCCCTGGGCCACCCAGTGATGTCCCATTTTCCTGATATTCCAATCCTCCATGGACATCAGCTCTGTCCCCATGCTCTGCTCTTGAATTTTCTCTAGTGTCCAGGCTGGCATCTTTCCCAAGTTCAGTAGTTAGAGCAGCAGCTCTATCTGCAGGCAATCCCTCTCCGCCAAGGAATTCTCTGTTTCCTGTATACCCTTGGAACCCCTGACTACCCTGACGCCCTCCAGTTCCTGATCTCCCTCCTACATAACGTAGGTCTCCTGATTCCCTGGGCCTCCAGAGCCATCCCTGGAACCTGGATGACCAGGAAGGAAATCCCTCCCATCCCATGACTCCATCACCCCAGAGACCCTAGACCTATATGCTGTCTCAATCCCAGACCCTATTCCTCCAGGAACCCCAGAGCCATTCCCATAAACATAATCTCCCCCCTTCATGCATCCCATTGCTTTACCTACCATTGAGTCACCCACATAACCTGCTCCAACCCCAGACTGCCCTGGACCCCTGCCCTGACAGGCTCTATTTCCCCTTTGACTCTGGACTTGTCCTCATATCCTAGTCTCTCCAATGACTCCAATGCTCTAGAACTCCCTGGGTCACCACCATAATTCCCCTCAGCACCAGACCCTATTCTCCTGGAACCTTTAAAGTCATTTCTATGACTTTCCTTTCCTGATAACCCCATTCTCCCATGATCACCTAAGTCATCTCTATAACCTCCTTGAGCTTCTGTTTCCCTTCCCCAAGAACCCCCTAAAATACCCTTATCACCTGATTCACCACTTGACTCCTTTCCTCCAGGACCCTTTAAACCACCTCTATTATCTGCCTCACCTTCCAACCCCATTTTCCCAGGACCTCCTATGCCTTCTCTGTAACCTTCTTCATAATTTGACCCCTGAGCCATGAAACCTCTTGACCCCTCATCATGCCCTTCTTTGCCTCTAGCCCTGGGATGTCCTGAAATTCCTGACCTATCCCCATAACTTGCCCCCTGTCCCAACCCACAGACTCCTAAGTTCTCAGGACCAGTGCCATCTTCAGATGACATTACTTTGGAGCTCCTGGAATCATCCCAGTGACTAGCTCCCACCCCAGAATCCAGAGCATGAGGGCCTCTAAACCCATCCCCACAATTCCCACTGCCCCCAGGCCTCTGTGGCTTTAGTCCCATTGAGGTCCCCTAGACTCTGCTCCTGAACCAAGCTCTGTTGCTTCTAGACTGTCAGAGCTATGCCCATAACTTGCTTTCCTACCAGCTTTCAAAGCCTCTGAGTCTCCAAATCCTTCACCATAACCATCTTCATCCCAAGACTTCATTCCTCCTGAGCCCCCTGCCCTATCTTCAACATATCCTACCCCTTTAGACCCAGTTGTCCCAAGGACTCCAGGACCAAATCCATCAATAGAACCCACTCTCCCTGGGCTTCCTCTCCCATTTCCCAAACCACTCTTTCCCCAAGATCCTATTGTCCCTTGCTCTCTAGATCTATCCCCATGTCCTATTTCATCCTCTGGTCCTGTTATACCTAAGCTCCTTGAATTATTCCTCAAACTATCACCCTTTCCAAACACCATTCCCTGAGAAACTCCTAAGCCATTCTTATATCCTGCTCCCAAACCAGATCCCATCTCCCTAGGATCCTCTAAGTCACCTATATAACCTCCTTTACCCCCTGGCCCCATTCCCTCAAGACACCTTCCACCACCTCCATCACTTCTCTCAATATCTGACCATATTCCCTCAGCATCTCTTAAGCCACTTCCATAACCTCCCTTCCCCCTTGATCCTATTCCCCCAGGACCCCCTAAACTATCCCCATAGTTTTCCTTCCCCCCTATTCCCCCAGGACCCCCTAAACCATCCCCATAGCTTCCCTTTCCCCTTATTCTCCCAGGACTTCCTAAACTATCCTCATAGCCTCCCTTCCCCCCTGACCCTATTCCCTCAGGACCCTCTAAACTTTCCCCATAGTCTCCCTTCCCCCTTATTCCCCCAGGACCCCCTAAACTATCCCCATAGCTTCCCTTTCCCCCTATTCTCCCAGGACTTCCTAAACTATCCTCATAGCCTCCTTTCCCCCCTGAAACTATTCCCCCAGGACCTCCTAAATTATCCCCATAACCTCCCTTCCTTCCTATTCCCCCAGGACCTCCTAAACTATCCCCATAGCCTCCCTTCCCCCCTATTCCCCCAGGACCTCCCAAACTATCCCCATAGCCTCCCTTCCCCCCTATTCCCCCAGGACCCCTAAACTATCCCCATAGCCTCCCTTCCCCCCTATTCCCCAGGACCCCTAAACTATCCTCATAGCCTCCTTCCCCCCTGAACCTATTCCCCCAGGACCTCCTAAACTATCCCCATGGCCTCCCTTCCCCCCTATCCCCCCAGGACCCTCTAAACTTTCCCCATAGTCTCCCTTCCCCCCTATTACCTCAGGGCCTCCTAAACTATCCCCATAGCCCCCTTCCCCCTTTTCCCCAGGACCCCCTAAACTATCCTCATAGCCTCCTTTCCCCCTGAACCTATTCCCCCAGAACCTCCTAAATTATCCCCATAACCTCCCTTCCTTCCTATTCCCCCAGGACCTCCTAAACTATCCCCATAGCCTCCCTTCCCCCCCATTCCCCAGGACCCCCTAAACTATCCTCATAGCCTCCTTTCCCCCCTGAACCTATTCCCCCAGAACCTCCTAAATTATCCCCATAACCTCCCTTCCTTCCTATTCCCCAGGACCTCCTAAACTATCCCATAGCCTCCCTTCCCCCCTATTCCCCCAGACCCTCTAAACTTTCCCCATAGTCTCCCTTCCCCCCTATTCCCCCAGGACCCCCTAAACTATCCCCATAGCCTCCCTTCCCCCCTATTCCCCCAGGACCCTCTAAACTATCCCCATAACCTCCCTTCCCCCTATTCCCCCAGGACCCTCTAAACCTTCCCCATAGTCTCCCTTCCCTCCTATTCCCCCAGGACCTCCTGAACTATCCCCATAGCCTCCCTTTCCCTTGACCTTATTACCCTAGGACCCCCTAAACTATCCCCATAGCCTCCCTTCCCCCCTATTCCCCCAGGACCCTCTAAACTTTTCCCATAGTCTCCTTTCCCCCCTATTCCCCCAGGACCCTCTAAACTTTCCCCATAGCCTCCCTTCCCCCTATTCCACCAGGACCCCTACACTATCCCCATGGCCTCTCTTCCCTCTTATTCCCCAGGACCCCTAAACTATCCCAATAGCCTCCCACCCCCCTATTCCCCCAGGACCCTCTAAACTTCCCCATAGTCTCCCTTCCCCCCTATTCCCCCAGGCCTCCTAAACTATCCCCATAGCCTCCCTTCCCCCTATTCCCCCAGAACCCCTAAACTAACCCCATAGCCTTCCTTTCCCTTTGACCTTATTCCCCCAGGATGCTCTGAACCACCTCCATAATCTCTTTCAACCTCTGACCTTATCCTTCCAGAATTTCCTAAGCCACTTTCATAAATTCTATTACCCTCTGACCCCATTCTCCTAGGATCCTCTAAGCTACCCCTATGTCCTCCCTCAACCCTTGGCCCAGTTCCTTCATGACCCCTTAAACTACTCTCATGGCCTCCCATACCCCCTGACTCTATTCCCCTAGGACCCTCTAAGCCACTCCCATAATCACCCTCACCCTCTGACCCCCTTCCTCCAGGATGCCCTAAACTATCTCCATAACCTTCCTTACCTCTTGACCACATTTCTCCAGGGCCCCCTGGGCCCACCTTTAAACCTCCCTCACCCCTTGACCCCATTCTCCCAGGACCTCCTGAGCTACTTCTATAGTCTCTCTCACCCCCTGATCCCATTCCCACCAGTCCCTCTGAGTCCCCTCCATAACCTCCCTCACTCCATGACCCCCAAACCCCAGGATCTTCTAACCCACCCTTATAATTCCCACCACCCACTGACCCTATTCCCCCAGGACCCCCTAAACCAATCCTATAACCTCCTTCCTTCCCTGATCCTATTCTTCTAGAATCCCCAAAGTCATTCCCATAACCTTCTAAATCACCCCTGAAACTTCCTTCACCCCCTGCTCCTGTTCTCCTATTATTTTCCACACTCCCTGATCCCATTCCCCCAGGACCCTCTAAGCCACCTGTATAATCACCCTCACTACCAAGCCCTTCCATCCTTCTGTCCCTTGAGACATCTTTTAAACTGGCTCCATACTTAGACCTCATTCTCTCTAAATCCTTTAAACCATCCCTATTATCTCTCTCACTTCCATTCCCCTGAGTTCCCAGGTCTCCTAAGCCATCTTCATAAGCAGTTCTACCTTTTATCCTGTGGTCTCTGGGCCCATCCCCATAGTCTACCCCACTCTTAGACCCCATTGACTCATCTACTTTAGCACCAACCCCCTCCCTTCCCCTTTGCCCAGACCCCATTATTTTAGAGGGCCCTAGGCCATCTTTAGATCCAATTTTTCTGAGATTAAAACTTTTGTCATCCCAGGAGCTCATCATGCCTTCAGACTCGACTATGTCATCTCTATACCCTGCTCCCCTTTGGCTTGCCGGCCAGTCCTGGAGATACCCCAATTCTTCAGAACTTTCTCCCAATGGCCCCCCAACCAGGGACTTTGCTGTCCCCTGACTATCTCTAGAATCCAATCCTCTTCCTTTAAGGTCCAGCAAGCCCCCTGCAATGTCCCCAGTTTCTTCATCTCCATCAGACCTCAAGGTCCAAGGACCAGCTTTAAATCCTGTTCTCCTAACTGTGGATTCCTTCCCAAGAGACTCTTGCTTCCCTGAGTTAGACTCATAACCTGCTTCTTCTAGTGACCCATCAGCTTCCTCCAAACCCTTTTGTCCTAGGAAAGATTTCTTGCCGTGAGACAATCTCTGAGCCTGGAAGTCCCTTAATTTGTCTCCATTGCCTTTACCCCAGCCTAGAGATTCCCATGCCTCAGGACCTCCAGGCCCACCACTATCACCACCTTGGCCAGTCTCTTGGTCCTGTTTCTCCCCTGCCTTTCCAAACCAGGGAGACTTATACTGTCCCCTTTTAGAGCTAGAGTCATCCCTACCCTCTAACTCCAAATTGTCATCAGCCTCTGAACTCATTCCCAGTTTCCTTCCTTTTTTCCAAGACCCTGCTGGAGTGGTCTGAGAAGTAGACAAGCTCTTCTCTCCTGTTTCAAATCCCCACTGGGTATTCCCTATATTTCCCTGGCTATAATTTCCCAGCTGCCTTCCACTGTCCCCTCTAGCCTCCTTTCCTTCCAAGTTACTTCCCCATCCTCTGCCCTGAAGACCACCAGAACCTGCCTCCCAACTCTCTCCTGCCTCCCATTGTCTGGCCTCACCCTTATCTCTACCGTTGCCTTGCTGTTGTCCTATTATGAGGTCCATTCCACTTTCCCAACCATCTCCCTGTAGCCCATATCTCCCCGGGAAGCATCTCCCCTGACCATCAACTCTAGAGAGCTGGTTTCCTTCAATGGATTTGTCTCTATTTCCCTCTGCTTTGTAAAATCCTTTCTGACTCTCTGTCCCCTTATTCAGGTCCCAGGATAGGTCAGAAATTCCTTCTTTGTCCATGGGGGAATCATTATGTCCTCTGGGACCACCTGTGATGTGACCACAGAGGAGACCATCATCCTCGACAGATCCTCCCAGGTTACTCCAATCCCCTGGTTTCCCTTCTTTTATGAGTTTCCTTGAATCCTTTATGTCTGAAAACTGGGATTCTTCAGCTTGAAACCCATTTCTTCCATTGTCACCATCATCATCTGTTTTCCCTTCTCTTGAAGGCTGGAAACCTTTGTCCTTCTCACCTTCCAGATGATAGTTGTTGGGTAGAACATCAAAGCCATATTTGTACAGGAAAAAAAAAAGACCCAAATCCCCATTATATGGATCCGTAAGCTTCCCACCTTCAACAAGCCACCTATCCTACTGCGTCAGGGAGATCACATAATGGTGAAGTTGGAAAGGACCTTTGTGGTCATCTTGTCCAAACCATATCTAAATACGAATTGTCTCTACATTTCTAATAAGTAGCTATCCCACTGAAGATCTCCAGTGAAAGACAGCTCACTCCTTTCCAATTTAGCCCATTCCATTGGGGAGATCACTCTCACTATATGGAAGCTTTTCCTTACCTAGAACTTAAGTTTACCTATAACTTCCACCCATTTTTTGCCCTCTGGAGACAAGCAGAACTGGTCTAGCCTTGAGTGAGGAGACTTAGTTTAGGACCATCAGTGACTAGCGTAGTACTTGGTATTTATAAATACTCGTTGATGGATTGATTCTAATGTACTCAACGGCACTCCCATGTAAGAATAAAAGTCAAAGCCTGATTCACACTTCGAAAAGTCTCCATTTCCCTAGTTGAGAGGGCAGTCTGTATATATTGGGAGATCTCAGCCCAATATCCCCAATCCATGGTCCTGTCCTCCCCAGGCTGCATCTAGCAGTCTCACCTTCTACCACCAACCAAGCTCGAGAAGAGTGGAGACCAGTGCTAAGAGAGTAAAGGCCCATGTCTGAATACTGGGCCCCTCTCACCACCAGCCGGTGGGTCAGGCCATCTGGAGACACAGACACCTCATACTTGTCACTGGGCCGGAGGGGCCGGTGTTGAAACTGCCACAAGGCATGTGGGCAGGGATTAGAGAGGGTGCATTCAAATACAGCATCATCCTGCACCTCACATCGAGTTTCAGCCAGAGGATTCATGACCCTGGCAGGGATGGCTGCCAAAGAAGCAAGACAGAATAAGTAGGAATTTGAGATAAATCCTAGATCATACAGATGTTTCAAAGACAAGTTTCCCTC